TTGATCAGTTTCCAACCATTCTTACTTGTCCTGCCCTCTAGTACTTTGGAGAATAATTTGACCCTCTCTTATTTGTGGCAGCCCCACAAACACTCAAAATACTGCTATCGTGTCACCCCTAATTCTTCTTTTCTTTAGACTAGCCAGACCCAAAATCTGCAGCTGTTCTTCATATGGTTTAGTCTCCAGGCCTTTGATCATCTTAGTTGCTCTTCTTTGAACTTTTTCCAAAGTCTCAACATCTTTTTTGTAGTATAGTGACCAAAAGTGGTTGCAGTATTCCAGCTATGGTCTTACTAGGGTTTTGTAACGCTGCATTAAAATTTAAAAGTCCACTGCATGCATTGTACACATGTAAAAAGGGGTGGGGCTAAATCACCCAGCCGCACCCCCACCCTCTGAAACCAGAGACCATCCCTACAGATGGCCTTTCCCAAGGAAGTGAATAAGTGTTGCCAAATCACATCTTTTTTCTTTTTAAATTGACATTTCAAGTCAGTTAGCATCTTAGCAGTAGAACACAAGGAGAAAATATCCAGTCTTGACTAAATTCCACAATTGAAGTTTTTGCCTTGATTAAACTGTTTTTAAAATCACACTACATGTGTTAACCACCTCGAGAATTCAACAAAGTCTGTGAGATCTTCCAACAATTTAGCTAATAACTACTGTAAATAAGGTAATTATCACTACTTGCAATTTTTGCATTTCCTTTTCTTGTGATTTCACTGTTTACAATTAGTTTTCACTGAAAGATAGAAGGTTCCCCAAATTTGCAGTGAAAGCTGGAGACACCTCAAAAGTATTCTTTTTGGCTGTAATATGTATTAGAGATTATTTATATTATAGGTAAATCCTGATTTAACAACAGGAATTGTGACTGGAATTATGGTAATAAATTGTTCCACTCATAAATCGAGGTAAGTAATCACCAGTCTTTACAATGGTCACTAACTGAATGCAGGAGTTGTTATGCAAATCCCTATAAGCATTTTTAACCTTGTCTTATACTTTCATCAAATGCTAGAAACCCAAGGATATTTTTAAAATAATGCCTAAAGTCTATGAGATCTTTTCAAGTTCACAAGACGTGCCTATTCAACTCACTGAGAAAGTATTTCCTTGTAACTAAATCATTCCTTAACAATAGCAAGAAACAGTAAGGTAGGCTTATAATATATCTCACAATTTTGATGGGATAGGAGTCTCTTCCTGTTAAAAAGTCTTAAGATTAAAGTCTGGACATCCCTGCTTTAGAATACCAAATACTGGATAACATATATTCAAGGAAGGAGGGAAGGAGGGAAGGAAGGAAGATTTTTTCACATGTGGTTATAATATCTTTTGATGCTGCAACAATCAGAGTACGGTATTTTGAAAAAATAACTGACTTAAAGTTACCAAGGCAACTGTTCTTCTAATTATCCATAAAACATTTAATGCTGCTTTTTTGAATCATCATGCACAGATGCTTATTTTTTTCTTTTATTTTCTCTTTGCAGCCAATAAAATGTAACATTTTAAGTATTCCCTCTATCAATAGTACAGAGGACCTCTTTTGCCATGCGCTAAGATAAGCCTAATCAAATATTCTAAAGTGCTTGAAATCCAATTAATTAATGCCACAAATCCAATTACTGGAAAGAAACAAAAGTTGTTAATATCCAATGACAGCATGTATTCCAGTGTATCATTCAGTCACTCATGACATTGGTATGCCACCTGACTCTTGACAACCCTAGGAGATTTGTATCATAGTTAATAGAACTGAATGAATCAAAGAAGAATGAATGGCAAATATCCATAATGTCTACTATTCCATTCAGAATTCAGATAAATGTAAAAATGTATGTGTAAGACTATTTTAAAAGATAATAGAAAAATTTCTTACCAGTACTTATTCTATGTAAGCTACTGTCAATGGCCAGAATTTTAACTAAAAAAAGCTTTCTATGTTTCGATATATACCAGAAGTGTTTGGTTAATCATAGTAATTGAGATGACCACAATTGAACCCAAAATTTCTGTTGTTAAGTGAGATATTTCTTAAGTGAATTTTGCCCCATTTTATTTTCTTGCCACAGTTGTTAAGTGAATAACTACAGTTGATAAATGTGTAACCCTGGTGTTAAATGAAACTGGCTTGCCCATTGACTTTGCTTGTCAGAAGGTCACAAAAAAGGGGATCACATGACCTTTTGACATAAATACGAAGCAGCTGCCAAGCATCTGAATTTGGATCACGTGATTATGGGGATGCTGCAAAGATCGTAAGTGAAAAACTGTTATAAGTCACATTTTTCAATNACTCAGCGTTACGAAAATTATAGAAGGGGTACACATATGTCAAAAGTTTGGGAAACACTGCTGTATGGGCTAGTGATACAATTCTATTTTTTGTGGGGGGGAAATGTGACAGCTAAAACTGGCAAAAGTGAAAATATAGGGTGGAAAATATTTAGCAAAATGGATTCCTCATAAAAGAGAGTAAACAAAAAGTGGTAATTTCAAAGAAAACATCAATTGTCTGTATTTACCTAGCACACTCGCCATAGTTAATTTAATCATGGTTTACTCAACCCACTTCTCTGGTTTAGTTCCCCCACTCAATTATGAATTAATAACACAGACTGTCTTAATATAACACACTAAACTGGCATATGGTTGAGTCATTTCTGATTCAAGTGTGTTCGGGAAAAAAACATTGTATAAGGAACCAATGTGAACAGGGCAGGGGAGAGGTTTCTGAAATTCCCGCATTTTAGGTGACTGATGATCTGAGTCATTTTTAAAAACCACATATGAAACAACTGCTGATCGTAAGTGAAATAAGCCCATTCTTCCCTCTCTGCAGAAATTTAAGCACTGGAGCCAAGAGAATCTTACAATGGCAAGAAGAACCAGATGTCTGGAGCTGAAAAATAAATAGTGCGATAAAGTCTCATGAATAGTGTAATGGTACTATAGCCTCACTGTCATGCTCCTGCCTTGGATTTGACACATACTATATGCGCGTGCATGTTCGTGCATGCAGATCTGTAATAAATGCATGGTTGGAAGCATTCTCTCTACCTTCTTCCCTTTCCAGTATTCGGGGAAGCGGGCACCCCCAGGACCTCAACTCCAATTTGCAATTCCCTTAAGCAGGCAGCAAAACCTTGCAGTAACCACACATCCCCCCCCCCCACTTCCCATCCTTTGTCAATGTGCTGATCTAATCTTGGTCCGAGGGCATTTGCAGCATGGACAATTTCTATATCATGTGCCCTTTTCTTTATCTATTATGTTGACTATAATGGCAAAATCTAATACAGGCCTCTAACACCTTTCCAGTGGAATCAGTTTTTTAGCCCATAAAATCTGCGGCATATATATATGTCAGTTTTCCATCGCTTTGTCGAACGCCAGTTAATAATACTGTTGCATTGTTAAGATGTCTGTAAGAAGGAAGCCTTGTTGAGAGCCTTGTTGCTCTTGCTTAAAAATGAGAGTTTAAAAAATACAGTAAAGAGGATGCTATATCCTC